TCATTAAAATAAATTCAAAACATATAAAGCATGAAATCCAGTTAAAAGCCTACATTAATACCCCCACTTCCTATACCTTACTCTCATTACCCTTTTCGTTTGCCCTACACTCACTCTTCTCCCCTTTATGCGTTTACCACAATCATAATCACAACCCTCCCTGAAAGAAAACTATCAAATCTCATCGTCTAACGTCACCACTGTATGTCACAATAATAGTAAACAAAGTACCTATATATGTCCGCTTGACCCTAAATCAATCATACACTCCCACCGTTACCCTCTAGGTAACCCTCAGTCATCACCAACATTGGCGACTCAACTTACCTCCATTTCCGCCAATCATCGACCATAAAACCAGCCACACCCTCACATCGTTACCATTTAGGTAATCCCTAGTCATCACCAATATCTGTGACTTAACTTACCTCTATTTCACCAATCATCAACCATAAATCGACCATATACTCACACTGTTACCATTCAGGTAACCCCTAGTCATCATCAATATCAGTGACCCAACTTACCCCCATTTTCGCCAATCATCGACCATAAATCGGCCACACACTCACACCATCATCATTCTGATAACCCCTAGTCATCACCAATATCGGCAACTCAACTTATTTCAGTTCCAACAACCATCGACAGCCAACATCGGTGTCTTCATACAACAAAAATATCACAACTATAGTTATGTAGTTTTTACAATCACATTCAATTATCATACATGCATGCATATTCAACAAACACACATAATAGTTCATACAAATATGTGTATTTAATAAGCACACAGAATAGTTCAAGTTAACATCCACACACATGTACAACTAACAGAGTCCATATAGTTTCTACATACTCATTCCTCCTATCCTGCAACATATACACACACTGTTATTGTCTGTTTTCATCACCCCCCCCCCCCCCCCATACTTCACACAGCTATTGCCCACTATTTAGTAACACACAATTTTAGTAACATCAATCCCTTACTCCCTGTTTACATCTTTCTCTCACATGTATCTCTCTCTCTCATCTCATACAACCGTCCTCTCAAAACACTCCAGCCATCACAACCCCTTTCACTACTCTACTCCCAGCCTAACTTCAAAATCTCTAGTTTCTTGTCTATTTGGTAAATGTCAAGTGCTCATCTAGATGTTCATGTATTTTCTTGCCTAATTCTTACGTTTTCGAGTTTGCCTCTCTCTTTGGTGACATTCTGGTACATATATACTAGTATATATATATATATACAATTTTTCTCTTTCTCACTTCCGCTCATCTCTCCCGCATGAGTCCCTCACGATTTCACCTACCAGACTTCCTTCTCTCTATTTACTTCCCGATCGATTCTCCTAGACGAGTAATTCCTCTTTTCACGGCTCCCTATCCTCTCCGTTGACATGCTCTTTCTTCTAGGGTTCATTACATAAATATTCACCACACTGTAGGAATTTAATTATAAATTATCATTTTAGTATTTAAGATTCGAATTTATAATACTTTTTGCCTCCATCATCCTCAACACAATAACAGTTCTCTCAATCACCTTAGTCAGCTCCTCCCTCTCTGACTTTCTCTCTCTTCCTCGACCAACTCTATCTTCTCCCTTTTTTTTTTCCTTTTTTTTCCCTTTTTCTTTTTTTTTCCCTCACCCTATTTATACCTAGTCTGGTAAATCATCCTAACTATCCATTTCCTTCTCTTTATCTATACCATCCCCTTTCACTCTCCCCTCCCTCTTTTTAATTTTTTTTTTTTATTTATTTCTTCCTTTTTTTTATATATATATAAACTCAGTTATTATAATATTTCAAATTTATAATTTATAAAATCACCTATTACGTTAATAATTAATGTCAAAATAATAAAATTTTATTCTTTTACTAATTAACTAATATCTTGTAATAGTTTCAATTTGATACATATACGATGCAATAATGTTTCTTATATTATCCCAAATATGAAATTTCAAATCCTGGTGATCATCTAATTAAAA